GGAACCCACCCATCACTGACCACCTAATGCCGTGTCCTCATTGAAAACGTAGCACTGAAGGAAGGCCAGGCTCGAAGGTCCCGAAAAGTTTTCGCACCTGGAAAGCTGTAGCAAGATCTCAAACCTTATGACTACAGAGCTGTTTTATTCACATATTCTTACTATGAACAGATGTTCTCTTCATACGAGACGTTTCAGGCGTATACACTTCCCTGTTTTTGGATACAGATTAACTGAAAATGGCGTTGCGGACCTGAAAAGTTTCCGGGACTTTCGACAAACGGGACCCAGGTCCGAAATGTGCGTAGAATTCAGCAATGCACTGAGTGGCATTAACTAGAGTAACCATTACTATAGTAATGAACTCAAACTACACAAACATATTCCAAAAATAATTTTTTTTCTTAATTCAGTGACTCTTGACTTATGCTCAAGCTGTTAACACGTCAGTCACCAACAGCAGTTCTTTTTTAGAAAGAAAGGCTATGATTGTCAAACTGACTGTGAGTAACAAGAAATAATATAGCTCCNAGTTTTGCCAGTGTTATGGCAGCGTCTGTTGTTTTCAATTTTTTGAGTGATGCAAACGTTTTCAGTGACTGGCCCCACTACCAAGGTGATGACATAAAATAAGTTTTACTACATAAGAAATTTTAGTCTGGGGAAAGAAACTAACTTTACAAGCAGATGCGGTAAATCCTTTTGATACCCAATCCCTCTCCTAGAGTGACCGAAATAACAAGCATTTGCAAGATCAGCGTTTCGAAGGAATAATGTTATAGTACGAAAAACGTCTCTCCACAGAAGAGAAGTAAAATAGATGTTTCATCTCGAAAAGGAACTTTCTTGTTATTGAATACCACGAGTTATTCGCCCTTTTTGAACAAAGAAAGCCTGTGATTAGCTTCGTGGGATTAAATAGCGGTAATGTAAAGGTTGGGTGTGGATCAGTTTCGCTTAATCAAACTACGCCTTTTGGTTCATAGACAGCACCAGAGAAAAAGGCGAGCAGATGAGTACTCCTGTAAAAAAGATCCCCAGCATGGAAGGTAAGGTCTGTGCCTAGTACAGTCTGACCACCTGTTCTCCTAAATTAGAAAATCACAGACTTGTACACCGGTTAAACTGTAGTTAGATGTTGTGGTACAGGTCGGATTGAAATCTCCCTCAGTGCCGTCCCTGGTTCATTTGATGGTAGCCCCTGGATTGCAAATCAGCTTGAGAAGAAGCAATATAAATGATCTGCAGTAGTAAAAGCTATCAAAAGTGTTCTTAGCTGACAATGCCTCAAAATTGACAAGACGATAGGCTTTGGATGTTGCTTTCAGTACTTTCACTATTGCAAATAAACTGAAAATAAATAGTTGAAATTCTAAAGTCAAAACTGACAAACTGTCCTCTTGACATAAATTGGTTTCCAAGGTTTTCTACAGCTACCAAGAAAGTATTCCACGTGCTCTTTAGTTCAGTTAAGGATGGGGTATTTTCTTGTTCTAAAAGAA